ATAAAAGAGTTGAAAGACAATATTTCCTAGCCCTAACCCTAACCCTAACCCTAACCCTAGTTTCTCAGCTTCATAACAGTGTGTAGCAAGTTGTTTGTCCATGTGGACAATGCTTATATTTGGACAAGAAGGCCTAATATATGAAACTACAAGAAAGCAGAGTAATACAGAGAAATTAACAGTAAATAGATAAGATCTCGTATAGAACAGCTGAAACAGATTTCTCCAAGTCAGTTGTTAGTGGAGAAAAGGAATCTAAGATCCAGGAAATCTTTAATTAAATTTAAGAACTCATTAAACAGTGTATGAAACCTCTATTATTTACTTAAAGTAGCCTAGAACTTTAAATCTGTGTCACACAATGCTAGAAAGAGAGAAATAAGCACAATTGAGCAGCTTTGGAAAACCTTACACTTCACGGCAATGTAGCATTAAACCTAGTTGAGAGACAATGTTCCCGAGCTTCTCAGGTTCATAACAGTGTGTAGGAAGTGTTTTGTACATGTGGGCAAAGCTTATACTTGGACAAGAAGGCCTAATATAGGAAACTACATGAAAACATGAGTAATTTAGAGAAAATGACAGTATATAGATGAGAACTCATTTAGAACAGGTGAAACAGATTCTCCAAGTCAGTTGTTAGTGTAGAAAAGGTACGTATCTAAGATCCAGGAAATCCTTAATTACTGTAAATAGCACATTAAACAATGTATGAATCCTATATTATTTACTTAAAGGAGCCTAGAACAGTAAATCTGTGTCATACAAGGCAGAGTATCCTTGAAATAGAGAAATAAGCACACTTAAGCAGCTTTGGAAAGCCTTTGACTTCACTGTAATGTAGCATTAAACACTATAACATAGTTGAGAGACAATGTTCCAGAGCTTGTGAGGTTCATAACCGTGTGTAGGAAGTTGTTTGTCCATGTTCCCAATGCTTCTACTTGGACAAGAAGGCCTAATATTGGAAACTACAAGAAAACATCGGTAATTTAGAGAAAATAACAGTAAAGTGATGAGAACCCACATAGAACATGTAGAAAACACTTCTCCAAGTCAGTTGTTAGTGTAGCAAAGGTATCTAAGATGCAGGCAATCCTTAATTACAGTAAAGAGCTCATTAAACAGTGTATGAAACCTATATTATTTACTTAAAGGAGCCTAGAACAGTAAATGTTTGTCATACAAGGCAGAATATCCTTGAAATACAGAAATAAGCACATTTAAGAATCTTTGAAAAGCCTTACTCTTCATGGCAATGTAGCATTAAACTCTATAACATAGTTGAGAGACAATGTTTCCAAGCGTCTCGGGTTCTTAACAGTGTAGGAAATTGTTTATATATGTGGGCAATGCTTATACGTGGACAAGAAGGCCTAAGATAAGAAACTACAAGAAAATATGAGTAATTCAGAGAAAATGACAGTAAATAGATGAGAACTCATTTAGAACATGTGAAACAGATTCTCCAAGTCAGTTGTTAGTGTAGAAAAGGTATCTAACATCCAAAAAATCCTTAATTAGAGTTAAGAGCATATTAAACAGTGTATGAATCCATATTAGTTACTTATAGGAGCCTAGAACTGTAAATGTGTGTCATACAAGGCATAATATCCTTGAAAAAGAGAAATAAGCACATTTAGCATCTTTGGAAAGCCTTACACTTCACTGCAATGTAGTATTAAACTCTATAACATAGCTGAGAGACAATGTTCCTGAGCTTCTCAGATTCTTAACAGTGTAAGAACTAGCATTGAACATGTACAAAACACTTCTCCAAGTAAGTTGTTTGTGTAGAAAAGTATCTAACATCCAGGAAATGCTTAATAAGAGTTAAGAGCACATTAAAAATTGTATGAAACCTCTATTATTTACTTAAAGGAGCTTAGAACAGTAAATGTGTATGAAAGAAGGCAGAATATCCTTGAAATAGAGAAATAAGCACATTTAAGCAGCTTTGTAAAGCCTTTGACGTCTTTCTAATGTAGCATTAAACACTATAACATAGTTGAGAAACAATGTTCCAGAGCTTCTCAGGTTCATGACTGAGTGTGGGAAGGTGTTTGTCCATGTTCCCAATGCTTATGCTTGGACAAGAAGGCCTAATATTGGAAACTACAAGAAAACATCAGTAATTCAGAGAAAATAACAGTAAATAGATGAGAACTCGCATAAAATATGTATAAAACACTTCTCCAAGTCAGTTGTTAGTATAGCAACTGTATCTAAGATCCAGGAAATCCTTAATTACAGTAAAGAGCTCATTAAACAGTGTATGAAATCTATATTATATATTTAAAGGAGCGCAGAACTATATATGTGTGTCATACAAGACAGAAATCATTGAAATAGAGAAATAAACACATTTATAGGCCTAAACCTATGTTTTAACTGTAAAATTAGGGGGTCATTTTATACGCCGGAAAATACGGTATTCCTAGGAGTGGGATTACTGGGTCAAATGGGAGTTCCATTTTCAGTTTTTTTTAGGAAACTCCATACTGTTCTCCACAGTGGTTGTGCCAGTCTGCATTCCCACCAGCAGTGCACGAGGGTTCCTTTTTCTCCGCATCCTCCCCAGCACTTGTCTTTTGCTGATTTGTTGATGATAACTATTCTGACAGGTGTAAGATGGTACTGCATTGTCATTTTGATTTGCATCTCTCAGATAATTAATGATTTTGAGCATGTTTTCATGTGCCTCTTAACCTTCCTTCTGTCTTCTTTCAAAAAGATTCTATTTAGATCCTTTGCCTATTTTTTAATTAGATAATTTATCTTCCCTTTATTAAGTTGTATAAGCTGTCTGTAGATGTTGGAGCTTAAACCTTTATCAGTGATAACATTTGCAAATATGTCTTCCCATACAGTTGGCTCTCTTGTTGCTTTGTTGATGGTTTCTTTTGCTGTAAAAAAATCTTTTTATTTTGATGCAGTCCCATTTGTTTATTTTCTCTTTAGCTTCCATTGCTTTAGGGGAAGTATCAGTGAAGAAGTTCTTTTGGCACATGTCAGATTTTGCTGCCTGTGGATGCTTCTAGTATTTTTATGGTTTCCTGTCTTATGTTTAAGTCTTGTATCCATTTTGAGTTTATTTTTGTGTATGGTGTAAGTTGGTGATCTAGTTTCATTCTTTTGCATGTATCTGTCCTATTTTCCCAACACCACTTATTGAAGAGACTGTCTTGACTCCATTGTACATTCGTGCCTCCTTTGTCAAATATTAATTGAGTATAGAGATTTTGGTTGATATCTGGATTCTCTACTCTATTCTATTGATCTATATATCTGTTTTTGTGCCAGTAACAGGCTGTTTTGAGAACAGTGGATTTGTAATACAGCTTGAAATCTGGTATTGAGATCCCTCCTACTTTATTCTTCTTTCTCAGGATTGCTGTGGCTATTCGGGGTCTTTTTTTGTTCCAGATGAATTTTTGGAGCATTATTTCTAGGTCTGTGAAATATGCCATTGGTATTTTAATGGGGAGTGCATTGAACCTATAAATTGTTTTGGGAAGTATGGACATTTTAATGATGTTGATTTTACCAATCCACGAACATGGTATGTTCTTCCATCTGTTTACATCTTCCTCTATCTCTTTTTTCAGTGTCCTGTAGTTTTCTGCATATAGGTCTTTTACCTCCTCAGTTAAGTTTATTCCTTGGTATCTTTATTTTTTTGGTTGTGATGGTAAATTGGATTGATTTTTTAACTAAGGAGGTAAAAGACCTATATGTAAATTCACTGTTGGTGTATAGAAATGCCATAGATTTCTTGGTGTTGATTTTGTATCCTGCTACATTGCCGAATTCATTAATTAAGTCTATTAGTTTTTTTTATGAAGTCTTTTGATTTTTTTATGCACAATATCATGTCATCTGCAAATAAGGACAACTTTACTTCTTCTTTTCCAATTTGAGATCAAGGTAATAATGTATTTTGGATCTTCTATACTCTTACTGATAATTTTTGTCTACCATATTAATTACTGAGGGAAGGATATTAAAATATTCAACTATAATGTGGATTTGTCCATTTCTGTTATTTTTTGTTCCATATATTTTGAATCTCAGCTATTAGATGTATGCACATTTAGGATTATTATATCTTCTTGATGAATTGACCTATTTATCCTTATGAAATGCCCCCTTTTATCTCTGGTAATATTATTTTCCTTGAATTCTACTTTACCTGATATTAATGTAATTGTTTTTTATTCCTTTTTTAAAATTTCCTTTTTTTACATCACTTTAATATGAAAAATTTCAAATATACAGCAAAGTTGGATGAGTTTTGCAGTGAATATCCTAACCATTAATATATTACTATACTTATTTTATCCCATTTCTATCCATCCATCACTCCATCTCATATTTACTAATGTTAAAGTAAATTGTATGCCTATAATTAGCTAAACTTCAAAATTTGTTTACAGTTTTTCTTTCTATGTAAAATTTACATACACTAAAATACACAATCTTAAGTGTACAAATGATGAGTTTTGACAAATGTATACCCTTGTGTAACCCAAAGCCTTCTTAAGGTATAAAACATTCCCATCACCTTCAAAAGTTCTTTCCTGTCTCTTTCTAATCAATCCCTGTTCCCACCTCAGCCCAAAGGCAACTACTATTGTGATTTTTTTCCCACCCTAAATCATTTGGGGTTTTGGTTTTTTCGTTTTCTATTCTAGGACATCATGTAAAGGGAATAATATATAATATGTAGCCTTTAGGGTCAGACTTTTTTTACTTAGCACATTATTTTTGAGATTCATTCACATTGGTTCATATATCAGTAGTTTGTTATGCTTTACTATTACTATATTGTATGTATTGCAGTTCACTTGTATCAGTGGATGACTAAGACATTCCCAATATTTTAATACTATGAATGAATCAATATGAACATTCTTGTGCAGTTTTTGTGGGCAAATTCTTTCATTTTCAATAATAAACTGTGTTGCTTTTATGACCTTAGTAAAAACTTGTCTCTGTAGGGCCCACGAGGAATACCTGGCTCTCCAGGAGCTGTAGGACCTATAGGATCACCAGGATTTCAAGTAAGTAACCTAAATCTACCATGTGATCATAGAATTCATTCACATGAATGCTTTACACACTAGAACATGGATTTGTGTGCCTGTGTAAATGTAGGTTCTCCTAGTGGAGAAGGCAACTTTCATTCCTGGAGGATTAAAATAAAGTATGCTCTTATAAGGAGCTAAGTATTGTCTTTATTTATTAGAGTCAATCTGACTATTCACTCTGTGCTTCCAAAGTCACCTAGTCTTGATCAACCTAAAATATAGCCCAGATATGACAGATATCTATTTTTACCATCCGCTCCCCTGATACTGCTAATTAATCATACTACCACCAGCATCAGTTACCCTGAGCACAGAAGAATTTTCAAAATTCTTTTCAAAACTGCAACTTGAAAAGCTCTACCTACCTCTCTTCTTTATACCAATCCTGTTTATCATAGGTGGCATAAGAAAAGCATAGAGTCATCTGTGTGGTTCTGGGAAAGCCCAGCCACAGATTTTTCTCTCTCCAGTGCATGAAATCCTACCACTGATTACGTTGGTTTACCTTTACCAAAGGTCACCATTGGCTTATTGGGAGGAATGACATATGAATCCTTCACTATTTTCACATGAATGTGATTATTGGGTCAATTTGGGGAATTGGAACCTTGAGAGAGAGAGCTAGAATTTGCTTCACCAATGCCAGGCTATACCAAGGTGGGTAGAAGATGTTCAACATGCCCACATCCTTGTTGAAATTAAAAAGTGCTGTTAACTTTCATTTTTAATATAGGGTCCTCCAGGCCCTCCTGGTCTCTCTGGTCCTGACGTAAGTATACTTTGGTCTCCTACCATTAAGTAATCATGTTTCCCCAGAGATATTCTGGTTTGATTAATGCACTTTCTGGTGGGAAAAAAAGACTACATTCCTACTGAAGTTCCTGGAACTTGTTTAGTAATTGATTTTGTTTTTTCTCCCTGTGCCTCATATCCCAGGGGAATATGGGGTTAGGTTTCCAAGGAGATAAAGGAGACAAGGTAAATAGATTTTTGCAAAATACAATACTCTGGTTTCTCTTCAGATCGCATAAATCTTTCGCCTTTTACAATCTGTGTTCCATATGCTCCTAACACAGTGTCTCTGGCTACAACCTTGTGCTTGCTTCTGTAAGGGGATTTGAATCTTTGCCTTGGGAAATGAGCATTTTCCACCCCACATGGATCTTCTGATGGGGTCCCTTGAGGGCTGCATGTGCACATGCCACACATAGGATATTGTGGTCTTTCTCCTTTAAAATATTATAGTCTTTCTGCTTCCTACCTGTGAAGTGTGGATGTCTTACAAATAAAACTTTCTTGAAATATATTATCTCTTCATTCCATTGGGGTATTTGTGTACTATGTGACCTTTTCTTTTTTAGCTTGTTATATCCTTCCTTCCTTTTCTTCTTCCTTCTTTTCTTCTTTCCTCTTCCTCTTCTTATTTCTTCTCTCTTTCCATCTCCTCTCTCTTGCTTCCTTAACCATGCATTCACCAGTCCCTTGTAGCTCCCCTTCCTCATTCTATTTACCTCTATAGTGATTTGAGCCTCAAGAGAGACTACAAGATTGTTCTTATTCCCCTTCATGAGTGCACTGCCTCCAATGATCAAATTCAGCTGCCAATGTTCTAAATGGTCTTTACTACCTCTGCTTGTGCTTTTGACAAGGGTTAGACCAATAACAGCCTGATCACAGTTGCAGAAAAGTGTCCATTCACCTTGCTCAAACCCCTTTTTTGCTCTCCTCCAAACACCCCTATGCATGACCATGGCAAGCATGAACGTGCAGCTTCCTTTATCTTGCTTCCTTCTTCTGTAGTGTTGATGCATTTAAACAGGCTTATTCTTCTCACTCCATGGCACTGATAGTTTTGTTTCCTCATTGATGCAAGGGTGAGGGTGAAGAGGCCAAAATGATGGACAGTTTATTTGTGAGTTACATACAATGGACAAACCCACCCTCTGGAGAAATGGTCTGTGTGGTTCTGCTTTGCTTAAAGTTCCTTTTGATCTTACAGGGGGATGTTGGTCTCCCTGGCCCTGCAGGACCCCCACCATCTACTGGAGAACTAGAATTCATGGGATTTCCCAAAGGAAAGAAAGGATCTAAGGTAGGGAATATTTAAGAACAGGAACAATTAATAAGCTTTTTCCTATTAATACCAAAGTTCAATTAAATATGATAACCAGACCACACTACCCTGTTTCCCTGAAAATAAGACTGTCTTATGTTAATTTTTGCTCCCAAAGATGCGCTAGATCTTATTTTCAGGGAATGTCTTATTTTTCCATGCACTAGGTCTTATTTTTGGAGGATGTCTTATTTTCGGGGAAACATAGTCGTGAGCAATGGATTTTTTTTTTTTTTGGAAGTGAAAATAAAGCCTTTTTTTGTTTATACCTCATGAAAGGCTTTTTTTTTTAAAAAAAAAAATCAATCTTTGTTGTTCATATTATTACAAAGGTTCCTCATTTCTTCCCCCCTCCACCGCGTTCCCACCCCACCCTCTGCCCCCTTCCCCTCCCCCATTGTCCTCATCCATAGGTGCACAGTTTATGTTCAGTCTCTTCCTCCCTTCCTTTCCCCAATAGTAAATCCCTTTTCAGATAGTAAATCAGTTACTTAGCATTTTCTCCTATCAATAATACCTCCACATGCCCAAAGATACACTTCACACAAAAGACATTTCCAAATAGGTCAACCAACCTCATCCAGGCCCCGCACAAGGCACTCACAGATCAACACCCCAGCGCTAAACTAACTCAACATATCCAGTTCTAAGCCTTCATCACTTGATTCATCAGACCCTCAAGTTCCCACAAAAGTTTCCAGCCATGTCTGAGAGGCAGCCTTGGGGTGGGGGCAGGCGAGGAGTGAGCTGTTCCGGGCCTGGCTGCTCCAGGCCTGGCCTCTGTTGCTCTGGTCCCTTCCACAACCAGCTGCTCCAGGTCTGGCCACTGCCGCTCCCGACCTGGTTGCTCCGGGCTTGGCTGCTGCTGCTCCGGGCCTGGCCACACCCAACCCGGCTGCTCTGGGCCCAGCTGCTCCGAGCCCGTCCACTCTGGGCCTGGCCGCTCCCAGCCTGGCAGCTGCTGCTCCGGGCCTGGCCACTCCCAGCCTGGCAGCTGCTGCTCCGGGCCTGGCCGCTCCCGACCCGGCTGCTCCGGGCCTGGCCGCTCCCAGCCTGGCAGTGAAAGGCTTTTTTAAAAGGTTGATTTGGGGTATGTGGATATGAGTGTGCTTAGGTTTCTGAGTATTCATTTCAGTTATTATTTTCTGTGTTTCACTTTTGCAGATCCAATTATCAAGATGCTAAAAGCTTAAATATTGAATAGTTGGGTTTTCCTCCTAACTCCCAACTTTCTCAATACTTGTATTGTTCCCAAAGATTGTGACAGAGCATATACAATGTAAATTGTTGTTTTGCAGTATCTTTTTTAAAGTTATTTTCCCTTAAAACTTGAGCATACCAGAAAGAATATATTGTCACCAACTGGCTGAAGATGCCCTAATTTATCTTATATGAACTATCAAGTCTGAGGTTATAGACCTGTTTAGCCAATATGTGTTATACTCTGTATTTTGATATGAGTAATTGTGCATATGGGTGTATTTGAATGGCTGTATGCTATTAAACTGTTGAATTATCTTTCAGTTATTTGCACTCCCTTCTTTCCTGTGGTTTTCTTAAGTTTTATGATTCTGTGACTGTGGTCAATCAGGAGAAGGTGTTTAGTCCATTTCTTTAAGTTTGTCTTTGTGCAAACAATAGATCCAGGTTCCTTCCAGGTTTATAGGAAGTATCCATTGATTAGAAATAGTTTATGAGCATATAAAAGATAACCTGCATCCTGATCATTCCCAAACTTTAGAGAGCCCTTCCAGAGCACATATAGGAAAATTATCATGTAATAGTTACTCTTTCCCTCAAAACCATTGATTTTTTTTGCAGTCTGTAATTTGCACCACCCTTTGGTGCCCCAATCCTGATACCCCATTTGTTTCCCACAGCACACCCCAACTAGCTCAAGAGAGCCATCTCCTTCAAGTTCACTGCTTTCTGCTGCTACTCACTAATCTTTGCTTATTTTTCCAGGGGGAAGTGGGGCCTCAGGGTTCCCCAGGAACAAGTGGCCCTCCAGGACTTCCGGTAAGTCATTTTATTTGGTCAGTATCTATATATTGTTTGATTGGACAAAAGTTATAGCAATAGAAGGCTAACAGGAAGACTTCTTCCTATGGTTATTATAGAGAATTCCACCATCTTCATTATTAGAAGGCATTTGAAATGTTTTTTAAATATATTTTTATTAGGGAGGAAGGGAGAGAGAGATAGGAACATCAATGATGAGAGAGAGTCACTGATCAGCTGCCCCTTGCATGCCTCACACTAGGGATCGAGCCCACAACCCAGGCATGGGCCCTGATAGGGAATCAAATAGTGATATCTTGGGTTTATAGGTCGACGCTCAATCACTAAGCCACTCCAATCAGACCATTTGAAATGTTCTTGTTTCTTGAACCCATGGCAACATTATCATGACTCTTCATGAGAATATATATCTTAGAGTTTATTAGCTCAAGCTCTAGAGTTAAAACAGACCTTGGCTTGACTTCTGGTTTCACCAGTTTCTAGCTATGTGATGTTGGACAAGTTTCTTTCTTTCTTTCTTTCTTTCTTTCTTTCTTTCTTTCTTTCTTTCTTTCTTTCTTTCTTTCTTTCTTTTTCTTTCTTTCTGTCTTTCACTTTCTTCCCTCCTTCCTTCCTCCTTCCTTCCTTCCTTCCTTCCTCCCTTCCTTCCTTTCTTCCTTCCTTCCTTCCTTCCTTCCTTCCTTCCTTCCTTCCTTCCTTCCTTTCTTCCTTCCTTCCTTTCTTTCTTTCTTTCTTTCTTTCTTTCTTTCTTTCTTTCTTTCTTTCTTTCTTTCTTTCTTTCTTTCTTTCTTTCTTTCTTTCTTTTTAAATCCTCACCCAAGGATATTTTTCCATTGATTTTTAGAGAGAGTAGAAGAGATGGGGAGAGACAGAGAGAAATGTCAATGTGAGAGAAGCACAGTGATTGGTTGCCTCCTGCAAGAGCTCCAACCAGGGCCCAGACTGGAGAAGAGCCTGCAACTGAGGTACGTGAACATTTCACATAGATTCTAGTCATTTCCAGTGATGCCTGTGAGGTATGCAAGGTGGGCTGGGGCTTATCTCCTTGTATTAAAGAGGAAACCATGGCTTGAATGGATGAAGAGGATTGATTGTCCAGAGCCACACAGAAAATTATTAGCAGAACTGAGACAGAAATTCAGCTTTCTTTACTTCTACCCAACTCAGAACTTTTTCCCCATACCACACTTCCCCGTACAGTCCAGTTCGTTCTTGTCATTGTGGTGGTGGATCTTTGGTGTTACTGGCTTTACTGGCTCACTCTCCCTCCTTCTCATTCTCTTCCAGGGTTTACCTCAAATAATTCCCCCTGCTGCATTTTCATCCTGTTCCCTTTGTCCTGTAAAATAAAAAGAGACTGGCTGGCAACAATGCAGGGTGATAGATTGCAATACCATTTGAAGCTCATCATTTCCAGTGTTTCACAATGTGGGCTGAAAAATAGAAACTCCAGTTGATTGTAAATATATACCACACTGAAAAAAATGCCTCTCTGTATGTAACATAGCTATTTTCAGATGATGAGAATCAAAAAACCAGAGTTTTCATCCCACTTTGGAATAGATTTGATATGAAAACTTGCCAAATCATGTAATTCCTTCACTCTTAACATCTCTACCTGCTTAGTAAGAACATTTATAGGTACCTTATGTGTCTTATAACAGAAAATTTGTGAAAAGAAAGGTGGTAATATGTTTGAGATACTTTGGGCTTTTCAGAGGAAATACACTTCTGAAATCCAAACGCCTCACATAAACTTTCAATTTCCACACAAGGAAGAGATGAAAATGGAAATCTTTATAGAAACCAAATTGTTCTCTTTAACAATTTTTAAATAAATCTTTATTGTTCAAAATATTACGTATATCTCCTTTTGTTCCCCATTAACAACATCCACCCTGCCCCACACCTCCCACCCTTGGGATCTCACTGCTCATTGTCTGTGTCCAAGGGCCATGCATATATGCATATAAGGTCCTTGGCTGGTTACCTCCCACCCATCCACCCTCCGCCACCTTCCCTCCAAGATGCCACACTCTGTTCCAAGATTCGAGTATCTGGATCCACTCTTTTCATCAGTTTATTTTGTTACTTATGTTCCACATATGAGTGAGATCATGTGATACTTGTCTTTCTCTGACTGGCTTATTTCACTTAACATGATACTCTCCAGGTCCCTCCATGCTGTCTCAAAAGATAAGAGATTCTTCTTTTTACTGCTGTATAGTATTCCATGGTGTAAATGTACCATGGCTTTTTTATCCACTTGTCTATGATGGGCACTGGGGCTATTTCCAAATCTTAGCTATTGTAAATTGTGCTGCTATGAACATAGGGGTGCATACATTCCCTCTGATTCATGCTTCAGGTTTCTTAAGATATATTCCTAGTAGTGAGATCATTGGGTCAAATAAATGGAAGTTCCATATTTAATTTTTTAAGGAAACTACATACTGTTTTCCATAATGGTTGCACCAGTCCGCATTCCTACCAGCAGTGCACAAGGGTTCCCATCCTCACCAGCACTTGTCATTTGTTGACTTGTTGATGGTAGCCATTCTGACAGGTGTGAGGCGATACCTCATTGTCATTTTAATTTGCATCTCTCTGATTATCAGTAACTTTGAGCATTTTGTCGTGTCTCTTGGCCATCTGTATGTTCTCTTTGGAGAAGCGTTTATTTACTAGGTGTACTAGTTAATAATGCACATTTTTTCAATAGATGGAGTTACACATATGATGATATATATTCAATTTGATATGTATTAGGGGTGATCGGGGCAGCAGCCACCACTCACACATGCTGACGACACTTGCCTCACAAACATCCGCTGCTGGTGTTGACCCCAATCACTCTGTGCCATTAGCAGGTGCAAGCCCAGCCAGCACCACTAGCACATGAGAGTGGTGGTGACAGGAGCAGGGCTACTGGCAGATGGGACCAGGGGGCTACAGTGGGAGGGGCTAGGTAGTGTTGCAAAGGATGGGCCAAGACCCGCCTATGTGCCCACCATAGCCTCATGGCCCACAGTTCCTTTCAAGGTGCACGGATTTCCCCAGGTTTTCTTTTCTTCATTTTTTTAAATTAAGGTAGTATATGTGTACATATCTTACCATTGCCCCCTCTCACCCCATGCCGATACATGCCAACACACCCACCAGTGTTTTGCCTCCATTGGTTATGCTTATATGCATGCATACAAGTCCTTCAATTGACCTTTTATCTACTGTACTTCTCCCTAAACTTCTCGCTGTAATTTGTCAGTCTGTTGGATGCTTTACTGCATCTGTATCTATCCTTTTGTTCATCAGTTTATAATGTCCTTTATTATCCACAAATGAGATCATGTGGGGTTTGTTTGTTTGTTTGTTTGTTGTTGTTTTTTCTTTCATTCACTTAGCATAATGCTCTCCAGTTCCATCTCAGTTGCTGCAAATGGTGAGAATTCCTTCTTTTTATGGAAGCATATTTCATTGTGTAAATGTACCATAGTTTTCTGATCCAGTCATCTGCTGATGGGCACCTAGGCTGTTTTAAAATTCTAGCTATTGTAAATTGGTCTCCTATGAACATATAAGTGCATATATCCTTTCTGATTGGTGTTTCTAGTTTCTTAGAATATATTCCTAGGAGTGGGATTACTGGGTCAAATGGGAGTTCCATTTTCAGTTTTTTTGAGGAAACTCCATAATGTTCTCCACAGGGACTGCACCAGTCTGCATTTCCACCAGCAGTGCAAAAAAGTTTCTTTTTCTATGCATCCTCTCCAACATTTGCTGATCCTTTTTATTGTTTCATTGTTGATCTGTTGATGATAGCCATTCTGACAGGGGTAAGATGGTACCACATTGTCGTTTCCATTTGCATCTCTCAGATAATTAGTGACTCTGAGCATGTTTTCATGTGTCTCTTTGCCTACCTTCTGTCTTCTTTTAAAAAGTACCTATTTAAGTCTGTTGCCCAATTTTTATTGGATCATTTATCTTCCTTTTATTAAGTTTTATAAGTTGCCTGTAGATGTTGGAGATTAAAAGTTTATCAGTGAAAACATTTGCAAATATGTCCTCCCATATAGTGGGCTTTCTTGTTGTTTTGTTGATGGTTTCTTATGCTGTGAAAAAAGCTTTTTATTTTGATGTAGTCCATTTCTTTATTTTCTCTTTAGATTATATTGCCCTAAGAGCAGTATGACTGAAGAAGTTCTTTTGGCACATGTCTGAGATTTTGCTGTGTATAGAGTCATCTAGTATTTTTATGGTTTTTTGTCTTATGTTTAAGTCCTGTATCCATTTTGAGTTTATTTTTGCATATGGTGTAATTTGGTGGTCTAGTTTCTTTTTCTTTCTTTCTTTCTTTTTTTTTTTTTTTTTTTTTGCATGTATCTGTCCAATTTGCCCAACACCATTTGTTAAAGAGATTGTCTTGACTTCATTGTATGTTCATGCCTCCTTTGCAAATATTAATTGAGCATAGCGGTTTGGGTCAATATCTAGGTTCTGTATTCTATTCCATTGGACTATATGACTGTTCTTGTGTCACTACCAGGCTGTTTTGAAAACAGTGGCTTTGTAATACAGCTTGAAATCAGCTATTGAGATCCCACCTATGTTATTCTTCTTTCTCTGGATTACTCTGCCTATGCAGGGTTTTGTTTTGTTTTTTATTCCAGGTGAATTTTTGGAGAGTTATTTCTAGGTCAAAATATGCCGTTTGTATTTTAATGGGGGTTGTATTGAATCTATAGATTGCTTTGGTTAGTATGGGTATTTTAATGATGTTGATTCTACCAATCCATGAACATGGTATGTTCTTCCATATGTTTACATCTTCCTCTACCTCTTTTTTCAGTCTCCTATAGTTTTCTGAGTATAGGTCTTTTACCTCCTCAGTTAAGTTTATTTTTAGGTATCTTAATTTTTTTTGTGTGTGTGCAATGGTAAATGGGATTGCTTTTTAAATCTCTCTTTCTGTAAGTTTACTATTGGTATATAGAAAT